AAGCAAATGAAAGTATGGTAAGAAAAGAGAGAGAGAAAGGAGGATGCAGTATGGTGAATTTTATTTTACTCTGTTTAGAAAGGCAAGAATATTTATAGTAGATAAGTTAAACGAAGCAAACGGAAGAGGAAATGAAAATTAAGCAAACAAACAAACCAACAAACCAGGAAATCAAACCTTTCGAATATGTACATATTTTTACTGGTAACGCAAAAAAAAAAAAAAACAAAGGAAAGATAAATCTTAAATCATAGGCATAATTTCTTCAAACAGAAGCTGATTAACGAAGTAGAAAGCAGGAAAGCTAATTTACACAAGAAAACAAAACAAAAAAAAACATATTTTACTTAGGAGTTGTATACAACACTTTACAGACACACTAGTAGAATCGCCATAGTTTTTGCAATATGATTTTGTAAGTTTTTCCGCAAAATTTAATTCTTCAGCAGAAAGACCTTCCTTGTTATAGTTTTTTTTTGCGAGGGATATTTAGTTTAACAAAACTTGTGTTTTCCATTTTTTTTGGCGTGGTTGCCGCTGAAACCCACAGCGCCTTACCACGCCTAGAGTTGTACTAGGTTTAGGTTTTTAACTGAAACAAATGAAGAAACTATCCGTTTTTCGATCTGTTGTTGTTTTAAGCTCTGTTATTTTTGTTCTATCAGGTAAAAAAAAAATACACACAAAATAGAAAACCTGTTATTTTAATGAATGACGTTTAATTTTTAGGAAATTTTTAAAACAGTGACCATTTTTTTTTTATTCGTAAAACCACAGTATTTTTTCGTCCCAGGAAGCCTTTCTCTTTTGTTTTGTTTGTCGTATTGTAATGGAGTTTTTTTTTTAGTTTGTTCCTTCTAACGTACAATCGTCATAGCGAATTTCACAGTTCCACATTGCAAATGCTCAGTCCATATTTAGTAGACGTTTATATTTTTTTCTTTGATAATTATTTTAAATGCAGTACAATTTTTTATTACTAATGTAAGGATTCGTAAGTTTTTTTTATATATAATTTAATTATTTTTAAATAGTCAATCAAAATCAACCACGCAGCGCCAGCTGGGGCTTGTGTTTCGATTTCTAGTATAATTCTCATTCTACATCGAGCAGCTCGCGTTGGGAATCGGTGTTCGGCGGGTGTTGAATTTAGAGCAGACATTTTGTCTCGTCTCTGAATTGAATGGAAGATCCTTACAACCATTTTGGACCGATATTCTAATCCGTAATAACGAGCACGGATCATAAGCAGCGAGAGAAATTGAAAGGTTTTTTTTTTCATAAACCCGCTGGCGTCTGATTGTTTTAAGTTTAGCGTTACAGTGTGATGTTTTTTTTTGGTCGTTGCTTTAGCAATGAAGAAAGAAGAGATATTTTAATCATTATTCTTTTTCTTACCTAGCGGTGAACTTAAAGCAAGAGTGTACTCTAGAAGAGAAAAAATTAGCCTAAATAATTAATTCCGGTTATCTAATCATTAGTTTAGTTCGATACTTTCCCGCGCTCATGGCCGATAAGTGTGGGAGTTCAATGAGTCGTCTCCCGTCATACCTAAAACCTTAGGTTAGGAATTTAAGTGTGGGATAGAGAAATTCATCAGTCCCCTTTGGTACCGAGGCAAATTTTGAATCTCTTAACAATGTTTACATAGGAAGTTCTATTGCAATATCATGATGCCATATTTTTTAAACGTATTTTTAACATCCTAGTAATAGCGGTTTCTCTGTCCCTTTTTAGCGTCCTGATTTGATCGATTTTCGCTTCTTTTTTTCTGTTTCCATTCCTGATTAAAAGTTTTCATTTACATATTTTCATCTTCAAAGTCTCCAACTTAAGGCGCTAAATTTGATGGCTATACAAATGCATTTGTCAAGTTTTTGGTATTTGGCAAGCAATAATATAGTTCTCTATTTTACACATTACAAATGTACATATATTTTACTGACTCGAAGCGGTGAAACGGTTTTACATCCCGTTCGACTAAAGTGTTTTTAGAGTTAGCATTCGTCCGCCATTTTTGACTTGTCACAACATGTATTTATACCATCTCTTTGCCTGTAGGGTAACAAACGTTCACAGAACACGCTCAATTTTTGTTTATGTTCTAGGTAGATTTTCGAGAGACATTTTACTTCATTTTAATTTAAGGTATCGAGAGGGAAATCTTACACGATCGCCCACTATTTTTAACTATTTATTAACGTAGTAATTCCTTTGCCAACTGAAAGAAGGGCCCAACCAAAACAACGTACTAGAGGTTCCGATCACGGCAGATTTCCCTCTCGATCGACTATTGTAGGCAATCGTCCCAATTCCACCTGCTTTCGGTGGCTCCGAAAGTGAAATGTGTGGAGTTGCTTGGCATCTGTTTTTCTATTTTTTTAGTTCGCACGCTTACAAACCTTTCAATGCATTTACATTTTTTTATTGTTAACATACAATTAAAAAATCTATCTACAAATCTAAGAAGGGAAATGAAAACAACCAACATCCGCGTAAAAAAGACAAAACACATAACACATACATTACACACAAACACACTGATAAGTGGACAAAGTATAATCAAGAATGAATAGTTGAAAACAACCCAAAGTAAATATTGCGTATTTAAAATGATATTTTTGCCTTATATTTTACATTTTTACATCATTAGTAATAACACCTTATATACATTATATATTGTAAATAATGCAAAAAAAACAAAAAAAAACAAACAATGGAAAATGAGAATGCGAACAACTGCGGTAGGCGCGTTTTAGACTCCTTCTTTTTTGATAATCGAGAAAACCGGACACAGCTGATGAAGGTCTATTGTTGGTCGAAGTGATTTTACCAAAAAAGAAAAGAAACAAACATGAGTAAATGAATAGATATTTTTGTAAAACAAAAATATATACCTAAATGCTTAATACAAAGAATCATACAAAATAAACGAAGGATGAATTTACAACCAGGGTGAAGCTGGAGAGTGTTGTACGATCGGTTAACGTACAGTGTTTTCACGACGAAATATAACCGCATCTCGAGGCTCCGAAGAGGACGCAATCGGTGAAAAAACCTTCCAACAAATCCAGACACACACACAAACACACACACACCAATAACACCTACTACGATTATTTTGATTATATTGTTTAGTGACCAAACACAACAACTATCAAAGTTCCTTAACACTAAACACTAGTAGCATGCGCATTCACCGTGTGTAAACAGCTGCTTTGATTCGGTCTGGTAGTAATTGGATCAGAAAATTTTGAGGGATTTGATTAGATTTGGAAGCCGCTTCGAACCAGCGTGAAGGAAAAGGTTTTTTTTTATTTTGAAAAATTCAACTTTTAAAATCGATAGAAATAATGTTGCAAATTTCGCAAAACTATTTTGATGTCTGTGTAAGGGAAGTTCACAGCAAAGTTCATCTGCGAGAGTTCGACGATAAAACATAAATTCGACGCTATTCAACACAGTGGCGTTTCCCCTCAATCTACCTGTGCACTCAAAACATAAACAATTATCAAAATATTACTTGCGATGGATAGATATCGAGTAAACTAGAAGATTAATTTTATTTTTCAACCGATTCAAGGTAAAAAGTGAGGTTACGGGACGCCACTGATCCAACAGTTTCGTCAATTCTGTTCATCTTCTGAAAGCGAAAACTGCTTCAAAAGAACCTCCTTTTACCTACTTGTCAACTGAGTCTCAGTCTTTTTTCAATTTGATATATTTCCTGTATTCTGCTAGTCGTTGGATTCTCTGTCACTTCACAAGTGACAGAGAATAACATGACTCACAGAATTGTGGGATTAGCCAGTAGATTTGGAGTACAACCTCGGTACCCGGTTAAGTCGGATGTCGGATTGACTCAGTTTGTCTTGAGGGGTAACACGCAATTCAATAATACCAGGCGTTTTTCAATTAATCATATTTCGGAGCGGTTTTGGGACGACTTTCTAACAGCAATAATAAGAAAATGAAGCAATCAATTCGAGATTTTTCCAGGTTCCATTTTCTCGAGGTTCTAGAAAAAAGAAAATATCAAAATATGGTTCCACGGCAAACTTTGAGTGGTAGGAAACGTAATTTTTAACTGCTCGAATTATATGATCCATTAAACAGTTAGTCGAGAAGTTTTAAGGAAATGCAATAAATTGTAGATTAGGAAGATTAACCCCCTATTTTCTCGAGATTCTAGAAGAAAAAAAAATTCAAAATATTGTTCCACGGTGAAGTTCGAGTGGCAGGAAACTTTATTTTAAACTACTCGAATGATATTATTAATTAACCACTTGATTTGAGCAGTTCAAAAAGACGTTTACTACCATCCGACCTTCGAAATAAAACAATATTTTCTAGAATTATGAGAAAAGTGGTCCAGGTAGAAACCACGCCTAACTGCTTGACAAAGTGGTCCAAGATAGGACCGATTGCTTCACCACCGCTTAAATGTTTAACAAGGTTACACCGAAAATAGTTTTCATGTAGCTTCCATTGGAATCGCAAATGATTTTCATCCATAAACAAAATTAATGGAATTCATCTGAATTTCACATAACATTTATGCGATCATGTTAATTTTATATGATTTTTCATATGAATTTCATTGGCCTCATAATATTCATGTGATTTGTGGTGAGATTTTCAGCTATGTGAAATTCACATGGTTTTCATCCATTAGATATGTGATAAATTTTTTGAGTGTAGTTAAACCAACCGGTCAACACTCGTGTTTATTTCAGTTACCGTGCGGACGTTATTTGTGACTAGCCCCGGTCCCTTTCAAATTGTATCATTATTTATGTACGGTCTTTATATTTGAAATGACGTTGCACATTCATCTAGCGATGGCCGATTTTCATTCGAATAATCGATTAATCGATTAACGACCCGAAAAGTAAAATATTTGTAATCGGTTATATCATTCCGATATAAGCATTCACTTCTTCAGTGGATCATCACCGATCGTTTCAAACATGTGCTGCACTCTCATTGGTGGAAAAATGACAGCACAACAAACAAAAATTATCGATTAGTTGTTAATCGAGTAGTTAAAAAATGGGACATCTCTGGTTTTGGTGTGATTGTTTTGATAAAAAAAAGTGCGCAAAATTTCATCTCTACCGAGGGGGCTGCAAAACCACAAATTTACCTTGCATACGGGGGGTATTCATTGGATGAAAGGGACCGTGAAAGAGAACACTTAAATAGAAAGTTTTTCTTCCGACAGTTTCATCTTAGTATTCTTCTTTGGTTAAACCTAGGATAAGTCTTAAGAGGAGGCGAAGAAATCGTGCCCATAGTCGTAAAATCTGACTCAAATTTGAGATCCATTTACAAACATTAAACATAGACTAAGTTAAAATCTGCTCGAATCTGAGTAAATGTCTTGCATATTTGACCAAATTTTGCTCAAAGTGTAATTTTGAGTGCATTCACTCAAATTCGAGCAGATTTCTACTCAGTGTATGAGCAACCGTTATTTTAGGGAATGTGGGTAAACGGAATTCAAACTTGAGTCAGATTCTACGACCGGGCATGCTTTCGTCAGTTAACGAAGCATATCACAATAATCCATTCGAATGAAGTTCCTTTGATATTTATTCGTTGCTGCTCATAGGTATATCAGTTTACGAAGATTTGTCGCTCTCTTTTCTCACCCGTAAATTTCGACAGTTTTGGGTGGTTTGTTTTCCTTCCTGCATATTCGATTGCCGTCAATGGATGGCAATCGATGTCCGTCGGTGATTGGCACTAGATTGCGGAACAGAGACCGACGTTAAATAAAGGAAAAAAGAAAAAAAGGGTGCTTTGTTTTGGCTCCCATTATTTGCCATCTCTTTTATTCTGATGTAAAATGATAGGGATCAACGAGAGACGTTAGGCACTGTATACCGAAGTTAAAATGACTTTTACTACCACGCTAACTTTGAAATAAAGCAATATTTTTAAATCTTTCTTTTAGAACCACGAGAAAAGTAGCCAAAATTTGTGACTTTCTTTAAAAAAAAACAGCATTTTGTTGGTCCAGTTTTGTGAAATCGCTGGTAGAATGCCAAAACTGTTTGGCAAAGTGGTCCATTGGATTTGATAATTAGCAGCACTGTCTCAGCGTAAATATGAAAACTCTCAATGAACATCGATGTCACACGGTCGTAGAATCTGACTCAAGTTTGAATTCCGTAGATCCCTTCCACTTTTCGTGAGCGACAAAAAAGCTTTGTATGATTTAGTGAAGTCGTTAAGTTGGTTGTGCATCGAGTAGATGTATCCACTGGTGGTCGAATTTTACTCAGTTTATGAGTGACCGTGATTCTAGCGAAGTGAGTAAACGGAATTGAAGTCATTTCATGAAAACTAGCAACTTTTCCTGAATCCATGGGACACCTTGTTAGCGCCGCTCGGTGTCACTTTGTATGGGAGCGAACTGTCAGTTTTTTAGTTTAGTGTCGAACAGTGAAGTTATTATTTTGCTCTAAATCTTGATTTAAAAATCAAGATGAAAGTGTGTGGGTTCAAAAAGAAAATATCGCTGTACTCAGAAAAAGAAGCTCTTTCAGATGATGTATAAAAAACAATACATTTTTCAAAATTAAAGAACCAAATTTAATATTTTTACCATTTTTCAAGGCGAAAATTCTAACTTTTGGACTAAGAATGGATAATTTGTTTTCTAAGAGAAGCTGGAAGAAATTTCTGGGGAATGTTTGAAGTAGCTTCTGAAGGAAGCCGAAAAACTTACAGAGAGAGAATAAAGAAGCTCTTTTGAAGGAAGTTTGAAGGAAGTTCTAAGAAATGTCGGAGAAGCATTTAGTGTACTCTCAAAACAAATATTCAGAAACTTTTGACGAAAATTTAAAGACGCTTTTGAAAAAAACGTATGACGGATCCAGAGGAAGCCAGAAAACATTCGGAAATCGGAAACAAATTCTAGGCGTAGTCATTTCCAGGGGAAGCCAGAAAAAGCTCAGAAAAACTTTCTATTAGAACTTATTGCGCATTTTGCACCAAATTAGACTCCTGTGCACAGTAATATTTGCGCACAGGCCAGAAAATTTTAAAATCGACTTATTTGAAAGCAGTAACAGCTTCAGAACATTACTAGCAAGCTACACTGTTGAATTAAAGCTTTAAGAAGCTCCATATTTAACTTTTATGACCAGTGCAAAAATATTACTGGTTACTTATTTTTAGCGCAGGAGTCTAATCAGGTGTGAAATCCGCAATAGAAGTCGAAAAAAACTAATGAAACTTATCGCTTAGGTAGGGTAGAGAATACTTCGGTCTAATCGCCCATTTTGGGCCTATCGAGCAGAAAACTTCTATAGATACATTCGGTAGAAGTTTAATTGAACCTCCTTGAGAAGACGGATTCCTGAAGACGCTGGAAGAAACTTCGTAAGGTAGATTGAAGGAAGTTTTTGGCGAAAGCCGAAAGCCAGATGGCTTAGGGAACAGTCGAAAGAAACTTCAAGGAGAATTTGGAAAAACATGCTGGAAGAAAGAGATTTCTTGGGGTTGTTCGTACAACATTCTCTGAGGTTCCTGACATGTTCTAATGATTCAGAAATTGTCCTGATAGTCATAAAACATACCTGATGGCCCCATAAACGTCCATGAAGTTTTCGGAATATTCCTGAAATACATCTTTCTTGAAAGTTCCTACCATTTTACTAGTTATCTTCTGATCATCCTATAAGTAGTCAGAACTTCCCTGATTATAATGAAATTACCGGAAAATCTCTAATCTTCTCAGAAGCCTTTCATGAAGATTTCGGAACTTCTGAATGGCGTTGAAGTTCGCTGATCACCCGATTGTTTTTTAAATTTGAAAAGTTCTTGAAACTGCCATTAAACATACGGACCTTCGTTTCGAATGTTCTCAAACTTTTCAAATGTTCATTTTACTTCCCTAACGTTTCCAAAATTTCATAAACCTCTCGGAATAAGGTTGCTGAAGTTTTCGAATATATCCTGAGTTTCTCGGAATTCCATTCAAGCTTCAGTAATTTAATATAAATTAATTGATCTGTTCAATTGAGACCCATGCAGAAGGTTGAATCACAAAAGGCTGAAAATCGAAAAGGCCGAAAATTTTCGATTTGAGAATACCTCATATTGAACTTCTTTATGAACGAAGCCACCTTATCGTGCTCGCACCGGTCCATTTTGTCGCTTTCCCGAGTTTTTTCGGCCTTTTTTGATTCGACCTTTCGTAGTACTCCCGTTCAATTCTCCTGGAGCAAATAAAACTGTCCTGAAAATTAATAAATATGCCCTGATGTTCTTTGGACTTGTTGTGAAGTTTCCAAAATATTTCTGGTGTTTTCTCAAGTTCTTTGGAGTTCTCTGAACTTTCCTGAACTTCCCAGGTTCTCGAGTATTAACAGAAGTTAAAGAAACTGTCTTTAATTTTTCGGAACTTATCCTTACAGATCTTTAAATTTACCCAAGAGTACTCGAAGCATCGGTATCTCAGCAAAACTTTTGAATGATGTGGATGCCCACATAAAAGCAAATCGTAAAGAATGCTCGGTGAGTGAGGAGTGTGAGTGCCGATGCACCACTCAAACCTTCGGGCTGCGTGCTCTTCTTCTCTTCGTCGTTCGCATCGCGAGCGGTGGAAAACGTTCTTCGTATGCTTTAGTCTTCATGACGATGCGAATGGTTTTTCGCATCAACGCGATGCTCATGCTTTGATCCTCACGAAGAATATTTGAATACCTATGCTCTAATGATGTCGCACGAAGCGTATTGGCGCTGACAACGTCTCTCCGTTGGGAAGTTATTTTTTCTCTAACGATGTTTCTCGTTAATGTTTGTGTAAATGAAACAAAAAATATTCCCTTTTGCACTAGCTCACGTAAACCCACTATAAAAATCACGACACTCGTCATCGCAAGCAATCACACAAAGCCTCGTTCATGAACGATAATAGCAATGATGCTCTTCATGAAGAGGATCAATCCGGGTGTATTCTTCTACGAGTGGCATCGCTCGCGAAGAACGATTGTTGGGATCGTGTTGCTGGAAATTTGAGAGTGAGTGACCCATGCTCAAAGGGTGCATGTGGTCACTCAGCCAATGAAGGGAAGGGTGGGAGAAACAAAATAACACGAATTGCTTCGTCAATATAAGCGATCGCACACGAAGAATGAACTGCACACACATAGCTGCTGTTCTTCTACCGCGATGGGAAAATAATCCGATGATCGCTTCAGTGCGATAATCAGTAACCTTGGATAAAAGTCTCTTACAATAGTTTCATCTGACAGTTCAGCGGAGCAGACAATAATCATTGTGATTATTTATAAAAATCGGTATTCTGAGAAACCTTATCTGTATATCGGTATAAAGTTTGAAAATCGGTATATCTGGCAACGCTGATAGACGCACTGCGCTTGAGCAAACGTGGAGTAATGCATAGAAAAAAGTAAGTTCACATACCTTGCTACTGAGGATGGAATATTTGTTATCAAATTCTGATTCTTAATTTTTCTTGATATGTTGTCTTCGGTTGCATCGAAATGGGCGATGTTCGTTTGGTTGCATAAGACATACATGCAACGGCCGGTCTATATTCAGTGTTGAAGTGTTTATATGAATGAACCAGTAGGGTTTTTGATCTTAACTTCCGTCCTACTAAGCAAAATCCGCACTTAGCCTTTTTTTCCGAACGGATATGAACCCATAAATGGAGTGATTCTACTATGGATGTCTTCCAAATGCCTTTCACCTTTATATACGTACCGTTGGATTTGATGAAGAATCACAAATTGTTGAGATATTGTTATAAATCTAACACTGCTTCTTGAATCCAAATTCGTTCTACGAATGAAAGCATACAAAATGAATTTGCTAAGAGCACTGCTGCAGTGCTCTACATTTTCGAAGCTCTAAAATGAACTCGAGTTTTGTTTCTCTCATACAACGCGTTCAACGCTTCATTTCTATAAAGCCTAGCTAGACTATCAGTAAGAAACTGTGTATGTGGATCTTCTCGCCGTTGCTTTGCTCATCGCTTTCAATGTTAGTAACGTCGATTTTCTAGTTAAACGAATCCTCGTTATGGCTTCAATTACCGCTCTTTCAATTTTTTAAAATTCGTTATGTCCTGTTTTCGTTAATTTTTTTTTAGATAAATTTATGGATGGAAGATAAATTAGATATTTTACGTGTAATCTTCAAGTGTTTTTAAGTGATAAATGCTTTAAATATATATTTTCATTTTCCGTCATATTCGTCATGAAACCTCTGTTGATGTGTTTCATGAAAGACGAAACTATCAAAGTCGAGCGCTATTTCGCTCGTTCGTTTAACCGAAGCTTGACAGAAAGACTTTTGGAGCGACGGGAGAAAGAGAGTCAAGCGATTAAACATATTTGTTGCCGGCGCCGGTGGTGTAGTGGTAAGCGTGACTGCTTTCTAACACCCCAATGGGTCTGGGTTCAATCCCAGCCGAGGTCGGTGGGATTTTTCTGAGGCATAAAAATCTCTGGTCACGTCTTCCTTCGGAAGGGAAGTAAAGCCGTTGGTCCCGGCCCATGTGTATTGTGAATGGGTGCGATATCCTACGCAGGTGTGGAAGCTGCCTTTCTGCACATTCGATTGTCGTCAATGGATGGCAATCGATGTCCGTCGGTGATTGGCACTAGATTGCGGAACAGAGACCGACGTTAAATAAAGGAAAGACTGAGGATTTAGAATGCTGCGAAGCTGTTCGACTTGAACAGAAAAAGAAAGCCAGCAGTCTCTTCGTAGCGTCGATTTGGTCGATTGAAGCTGATATTGTGACGCCCTGGCTAGCAGCGCTGCTTTTGTTTTGAGAACAATGAGTGTAAATATTCAAAAAAAAATGCGCTCGTATAGGCTTTGTTTTTTAGTTTATGAGTTAACGCATCGGAACAAACGTATTATTGAATTGTGCACGGTGAAATCATTGATATTACTGATATTTTCTGCTCGATAGATCGGAAATGGGCGATTACTCCTGTTCTCAAATGTATGAAAATCCTTCGTCAATCCGATCAAAAGTTCCAACAGAGTTGAGTATTATGTTTCCTTCACTTCTGTTGGCTAATAAAAGCTTTAAATAATCAAAATTCTGAATCTGACATCTTATAAACATATCTTAAACGCAATAAGTCAATTGATTTTCAGAAACACAATCAACAATAGTTTTCTAAATCCACATTGCATAGATGCGCAAAGCCTGTTTACACACCCAAATAAATCACTACAAAATCGAAACATACACGATCTTAAATGACGAGTAAACAATTGAACCCAGACTAAATACTTTGTAAATTCACCAACACACACATACACACACATATACATCAACAAAAACAAGAAAACGGTATATTTTTTCGAACCACTGTTGTAGTAGTGCAACCTTTCAACGTACGCGAAAGCCACAAAGAACTTGATAGTTATTATTAACAAATAGACCTAAAATGAAACGGAATAACAGTGCCATGTTTTAAACAAATAAAAAAAGAATACACAGAATCGTAACATTTAAAGGAATATATATTTTTATGTTTTAACTCCTAGTTTTTTCCCCTTCGTCACCAATTTTAAACGAACAAATTTTACACCAAGGCGCGCGTAAATCGAAAACGTAATCCAAGTGTTAGGAAGACGGGAACCGATTTGAGTTAGATGTGCAAGAAGAATCGAAGCGAAATGAGAAGAACTACGTTCGCAATAGTATTCGTCGTTACTTCGTTTGTTCTGAGTTGAAAGTTTATCATACCTACATACAAAATTGAAGGAGAAGCATACAAATGTTTATGATTATCGTGTCTCAATAAGCAATCATGTTTGGCTGTAGTGTTCCTTACTTGGTATAGTCTCATTATTTTTAAGGGATTTTTTTTACGAAAGGAAAATCATAGTATAGAAGTTCCAAAATTAGTATTTACATTTTACAACAACAACAAAACAAAACGTGCGCGGATGTGTAGAGTGGAGTGGTTTTAGAATGTATGTAGTATGTAGATGAATAGTAATGGAGTTTTTTTTTCTGCTGTAGATAGGTTTCATTGTTTGGATTTTACTTCTCCAAAACAGAACGAAACAATGTGCGTGTATAGTATTCATTATATAATTGGAATGGGCAAATTGGTAGCGCGTAGAGAAGCAACTTCGGTGTCCGAATGGTTTATGAGAGTGTCTTGTCGGAATGTTTCAAAACAAAAAAGTTTTCATGTTACACACTAAACAGGAATCACAGAAGAAAATATTTGTACATGTTGGAAGGGAAAAATCACAATCAAAGGTCTTTTCCGAGCAAGGAGTAAGTATTTGATGTGCTGTGACGAACTAAAAGTCCTATCTTTCTATTTATTTGTTTCGTTGTTTTTTAAGTATACGTCATATGTTTGAAAGTCAATTACTAAATTGCAACATACGCTTGCTTTCGTCTGTACTGTTCTGGACAATGTGAACTGAAAGAGTAAGAAACACATTTACCATCTCATGTTGACAAAAAAAAAGAAAATGTGACGATCATTAATTTCCAAGTCGAAAAATCCCACACATTAATTTAAACGTCGTTTATCGAATAGTAAGAAGAACATACGATGGAAAAGAATGCTCACCTATACACCTTTTTATACGAAATAATAACTGAAAAAGTTGACAAGTAAGGATACAAGTTCTTTGAATTTTTAATAACTATTCGCACTGTTCTCACAAACCTAACCTCATCACCGTCGTAATTTTGGTTTTTATCGTTCAGTAGCCCCTATGCTTGACGAAGAATAAACTAGTAGCATCCAGATGTCTGTTGTTCTTTAGTGTGTTGAGTAAAAGATGAGGTCACTGGTTTACTAGGCTGGAAAGTTTTAAATGTTCCGTTCTTGAAATCTGAGGTGCACCGCAAGTTATTCCTAATAATAGTTTGGTTGCAGTGCACTATTTCACCCGAAGATTTCAAAACCATGGTCAATCCTCAGATTCGACTATCGGAGAAGGCGAAATTGTTTCGATCACAAAAATCCATCAGAATGACGATCTGAAGAATAATTTCAAAATTTAATGTTTGCTATTAGCAATGACAGGACGAACAGGAAGAAATTTTCCAGCCGTAAGGGCCATCCTCTGATGAATATTCGTTTACAGTTTATAACATTGCATTTATTTTACGTCAATTACTGTCCATGAAAATCAAAACGAAAATCCATACATTTTCCACAAATGTGATATAATTTTCTTCTCATATTTTTTTTCACTTTGTTAGTGATCTCCAATCAACCAACTGTCCCCGCATAATTGTATTGAATTTTTCCCCTCTTCATAACGAAGAAATTCATTCTGTAGAACAGACATGTACAAAATTATATTTATATAAACAAAGGTAGACAAAATATTTAAAATCAGAAATTAAACAATTATATCCCAGTCGCCATCTATATTTTACACTGCAAACACACGAACCCGTATAGGAAAGGGAGAAGATAAAAACCCAATTGAATCACACAAATTACAATAAAAAATACCTTTTTCTCATACGACGAATAAAACTATTGATAAACAAGACAACTATTTACATATTATTATGAATTGCTCTTATATAGGAAAACAGAAAACAAACTAAACAACCGGAGGAAATTGTACAGAAAAGATATATTGAAAAGATATTTTTCACACGACATCTAACCTCTTCGAAGTGCGAGTGAAGCAAAACTGAAAGTCAGTAATCAATGAGGAAAGTCAAATCATACACAACATTTACCTATATTTACAAGGAAAATAGGAACTAGAATGCTACTGCTGATGCTTGCTTTCGTAGAACAAAAAACAAATCAAGGTCTGGATGAAAGTCAGGCATGATTTCCATGAGTTCGATCGGTTTTTGCGTAGTACCTTGCATCCTTTAGATTGCATACACGCTAGAAATATAATAGCCAAATTTGGGTAGACTCAATTAATCGAAATTTAATTGCCCCCATCTGTACTGCAATTTGCATAAGAAAGTACACACATTTGAATTAAGTTTACTCAAATTCGGTCACCCAGACTGAGGTACAAGCAGTTTACCCATATTCAGGATTTGTGCGGTTTGGTCCATTTCTTGGTAAAAAATATACTCAGATTTGGTTTTACTGATCTTATTGTGTACTTTTGAAAGCCGTTTTTCAAAAACCACGTATTCAACCAAATATAAGGTTTTTTGAAAGAAAGAAAAAACACGGTTCTAAAAGAAATGTTAATCAACTGAACCTCACACCAAAGGTTTTGCTATGTTGTAAAAGTCGTAATTTCCTTTAAAAAACGTTTGAATTCCCTTTTACGTTGGTGATGCGTTACGTACGGTTAGTGGAAGTTAGCCAAAAAAAAAGAATAAACATCCTGGCGCGTAATGACAGCTTAAATCAAAAAAACTCCCTTTGGGAAATCCTACACAGGTTCTGTACTCTGATAGCAATGATTATATACTAAAACAAAAAATTTGTTATATTTCTCATTCCATCCAACTTAAAAAAAAAATGAAAACGAAAGCACGTCAAGAAGCAAACTAACAGTTGAGTTAATAAAAAAAAAGTAGCAACATAATAGACGACATTCAAAAGAAAAAGTGCAGTAGCAAGCAGCAAAGCGAACACATTTAAGCGCGTATGTACGTAGAACAGCAAAGAAACAAAAAAAAACTATTTTAGCTTGACCATAGAAGATGAGAAAGATATCTGTAAAATAATTAAAAAAGAATGTTCCCGCCTTATTTTTTATGAAAAAAAAAACAACAAGTGATGATATATTTACTACTTTTACACTTTTTGTCAACGAGTAACATTTTATAGTGGTTTAGTGCGTTTTTATTAGAAGTTTAACTTTTTTCATAGTACTGGAGTGCCTATTGCACAATTTTTAATGATTGTTTTTTTTTTTTGCTTTTTACTTTTTAAATTATACACACACACATATATATACATAGTGAAGCGCCGAGTAGAAATATACAATAATTTCAAGCAAATAAAGTTTACAATTTATTTACTTTTACTTTGTTGATTTTGTTATTATTGTTTTGTTTTCTTTTCCTTAAGCCCTGCGTTCCGCTCATTCGTTGGCATTCCGTAGTTTCTGAAATTGTTTTTTTTTTCTCCCGTATCGGAATTTTAATATCACAATATCGCCATCGTTACGTTTAGATTCGCAGCTTTTCGTTTTATTAGAACCAATATTTCCGTATTATTTAGTTATCAATCTATATTTTTGGACAGAAGTTTTTTTTTTTAGAAAACATCGAAAATGTCATGCTTAACATTTGGCAACAAGCCTGGGCTATATTCATTCCCAAGACTGCAAAACGTGACGTGAATTGTAGTGTTGCAGTACCTTCTCATCATGTTTATTAGAAAATTGAGAAGAGAAAGTAAACGTTACCTGCAGTTTTTCAAGGCAATCGCAACGAAACTCTCAGCTCAAATGTGCAAAGTCTGCTAATGCCTTACCTCAGATTGGAGAGTTATTATTATTATTATTATTATCATTAGGCCGGAACAAATCACAAGTTTTTCTTTTGTCACTCGATGCTCGCACCAGTCGAGGGGGGGGGGGGAGAATAAAAAATAAAACATTCAAAATTCGTTTTGCATCAATTTGAAGCCGTATATTTCAAACGTTTACATCTTAGCCTTCGCCTTATGGAGTGTTTACACTAATGCTATATCACTAGCGCTAATGAGCCAGCTGCTAGTAAAAAGCTCACCAGCATAAGATTTCAGGAGCAACTGAAATTCGGACTAGTTGGCTAGTACACTAGCGCTAGCAAATCCACACAGATGTAAACACCCCATAAGCCTTCTACCACCGACGAACCGACATGCCACAGGAGCATTTCGTTTGTCCACAATTCGATTTGTCAAACGAGCGATTCGAACTTTCAAACGGGCAATCAGATCTGGCAAACGAGGTGAGACGCAAACCATGGCAATATAGATTCTATGCGGGTTCGTGCCCTTGCTCATTGCATTTATTTATAAGGCCCTCTCGTCTATTAGGTATTGCTTGGGCCGATGACCATTATTTACACAAAAGATCCCTTCCCGCTTTTATTTTTCAAATTGCTGACCAGTCTTCTGGGTGCGCTGATCAGCACGAGCTTTCTTTTTTTCGTTCTCCTTGTGGTTCGACAACCGGCGTTTGTTGGTATTTTCAATGAAAACCTTTGTTGCGTTTGATGAGCTGGTGCTAGAGTTTTCGTCGTTGCTTTCAACGTTTGAAGTGTGATGATCCTCGGTTTGATTGTCGGTGTTTCGCTGTTGTTCTTCTGCTGAGAACCCGGTGAAAGCAGGAGATGATTGACCCGATGTCGTTGGCTGGTTTTGTTCGATATCAATCGACGGGAAATCAGCGAGACTAAATGTACCCCCTCGGTTGGTGGTGCTGCTGGAACGGTGCTATTGTTCGATGTGGCTACATCCAAACATTTCTTTCTGGGAAGTGCTGCTCGGCCACAATGGCGACACGGTTTTGTTTGCTTGTCGTACGTTACCAACGTTGTTTCGCTGTCGACCGTGATGTATGATGGAATGGCGCTTTCGAGTCGCATTCGCAAAACTCGAACACCGCCCAGGAATCCTGGGAATTAGTGCTTCCATTTCTCATGTCGACCGGAAATCACTGTCCCGTACTTTGCCATGTTGTTCATAACAATGGCTTGTGGTCATGCACTCGAACAGTGGTATGTCTGTTACGGGTGAGTCCTTTTTTTACTGGTTATGGATTGAGATTCGATCCGGAACTTGTGAGAAATGGAGGCCAAACTCCCCTGCACTCGATCTCCCTAGGTCACGTCTCCTTGGTGGTTGAGCGTCGTTGATAAGTTAATACCTCGGTTAATACATTCTACTGGAGAGAATCGCCCATGAAATATGCTTCCACCTGAGAGTTCCTTCCTGACATCTTCAAGTGGTGGATTTTTTTTATTATTATATTGTATGATTATTGACTGCACGGAAAAGGTCTGCATAAGGCGGGATTTAGATGAGGCAGGTGAGTTGAATTCAACTCAAACCGATCTGGTCGTAGGCGTTCAATTGACTTGACAACGAATAGAGCAAGTCCGATATCGGTCAGATTTCTGGACGTTCATTTCGCAGTTCAATTGAGTTGAACGCTGAATTGAACCATCTTAACCCAGCTTTAGAGAGGGTCTAGGATAAAAGATGAGCGGACGCTGACTGGCTGGTTTTGAGCCAAACGAACTGTCAAAGCCAGAGCCATACGAGCAGCGTCTATCTTGCAGTGTTGCTGACCCAATGAGCTGGATTACCGAGGTGAAGCAATCACTCACACAATCACTGTACGATACACGCAAGTACACGCAAGTAGTGACGTCACTACTTGCGTTTACGTTGATTTTTTGGTTTACTAATACAACCCTATTTCACGATCTGCGCCACCTCTCTCTGTACCTCATTGTTGCTGACCCTCTCATAGTCTGCATGCTTTAATCAGATTTATTTTTATTGTTCGTGAAGTTACCCACAATGAAAACACACCAATAATTAATGTAACAACAATTTTTATTGTAATAGAGTTGTTCATTATTGTTCATGATCGAATCATGTTAACAATAAAATAAATGAAAAATACGATAAAAATCATTGTAACAACATTTTATTATGTACATTCATTGTACAGCTAGGTAGCAGTTTTGCCGTTTTCGGAAGGGTACAACATTATAACAATCATTTTTATTGTCGACAATAAATATTAATGTTAGAGCACTGTTTCCACTGAAAATTTCATTGTAATTTTTTTTTCGGGGTGGCCTCACTCCAGAAAATGCGAACGCAATTCTTTAAAGCTTGGGTTCGGGATATGTAGGATCACTTCAGGAAAGCTTTAAAAACATTAAAAAGGATTGAATAACATAACAGAAAAGTTTAAACTCAGTTAGAAAAATGTTGATGACTTATTCGAAAGTTTGAACTCACTTTAAAAAAAGTTCATACTGACGTTTCTGTAGTGTCACCTCAATTATGAATTTCCTGAATCGTTTCTGATTTGGTCTCACTTCTAAACATTTTAAACCAAGTTTGAAAATATTGGATTTAGCTCGGAAATTTTTGAATCACTGTAGAACAGAATTGAATCATTAAGTAGCAATGCAGCAGGTTTGTAAGTTAAGAAATTTAGATCGAATGCGAAAATCGGGCGACTACGGTGGGCTGGGCACATCGTAGCAATGTCGGATAACGACCCAATGAAAATGGTTCTTGGTAGTGACCCGACTGGAACAAGACGAAGATGTGCGCAGTGAACAAGGGGGATCGATCAGATTGAAGGCGGCTTACCTAGTGAGTTGCCAAACGAGATTAGGAATGATGTTCGATTAGATCCGTTTTCAACAACTGAAACCGGCTGATCTGATTTCATCTGGACCTGGCACGCCGTACCGGTCTATCTAAAAATTCTGTAAAAGAACAAGGTAATATTCTACAACATAATAAGATCTAGCAATGCGAGTATCCATACCCAAATGAATTAGTGATACTCAAAAAGAAAGAAACGATCCTGTTCTTATTATCGTCTGATCCGTTTCCTAGACGAGGGTGTCGATGGGAAGCTAAATCAGAGCAGCTCCAGGAGTCCGTGATGTTCCGTGATATTGTCATACGACCAAGGGGCAAGTCACTCAGCACATTGTGTCGAAATGCAAATTCGGCACAGTTTGGGCACACCTTCAGCATACCTTCAGCATAATCTCGTAGGCATTAGGTTGTTGTAAATTAAATGGGAGCACTGCTGGATAACTGTCATTGAAGTTGTTCCCAACATTACGTGCTGTTTGACTGTATATTCAGGAGCATCATCTAATTAAATGTACCAGAGGAACTCAGACCAGCAGTTCACTTATAGATCTAAATACGAAATGTAGGTTCTAGAGTGGGCTCAAGAGAAAGAGTCAGTTATTCAGACTCCATTATCACTCTTAATTCAAATTATGATGCAATTCACACAAAACAAACTACAGAAGTCTATTCATCATCCTCAATAGTCGGTCTCCAACAATGTTCCCCACCGGTTTCATCTCGTTCCGGCCGCTGATAGACCGTTGTTTTTCACATAACGATAGGCTAGGTTTCTGGTTTGCCTTTGACGGCATTATAAAACCCTAAAACAGGACTTTTATCATCCTATGAACATAAAACACCAACACCCGCCACTTCCCGCGTCATCTTCAATCCGATTTATCCTTGCGATATCGAACCAAAACATTCAAGGTGTCAGAAATACCGGGTTGCCGGGATGAGTATTTTACAAACAATTACAGCTTGCTCTATGACCGCACAATCGGCACACCTGGGGCACCCTGACAAAAAAGATGACCCAAGTTTGGTGTGCGGAGTTACGTACCCCTCGCATACGACGCTTTCCGAACGCGAATATTGTTCTACCCGATTTGGTTACAAAAAAAAGTTTGTTAACAACAACGTAACAACAATTAATCACTATTGAAATCTATACTTCGACGGCGAGATGCAAGAGTTAAAGCACGAGATCACACCGCTATGAAATCTTTTGACACTTTGTATAGCTGAATGACTGTTCTACACGAGAATCGTTGAGCGGAGCGTTGCAGGAAAACGCGCAAAAACAAATGACAGCTGACACAGTGCTTAAATTATGGCAATACTAGATAAACATTTCAAAGGGTTCTATATGCTTTGATCGATTCTATTAATCGACTTTCTCTTTCGTTAATAACTCAGCTGCAAAACGTTTATTTGTTGTATTTGACGTTTTGGACGCTACTTAGATAAAAACCTCCTTACTATAAATTAGCAATTAGCACGAAATCTGTTTGCATATCAGTGGTTATAAAAAGAGAAAGCCGATGCAGATAATCGATCAAAGCAGATAAGTCCGAAATAATGTGTCAAACTGAATACTTTTTTGATATTTCAACCAAAAAACTATTATTTTCTATTTATTCTAGCGAGTTTCTGTGGAAGTCAAAACATGATCCGAGCAAAAAAGTAGTACTCTTA